TATTATGCCTCACTAAGTGGATACTTAGCGTGTGATGATTTCACGAGTAGGTAATGGCATAAGAGCGGAGTTAGGAGTGCATCTGACATCGTAAATAAAATGTTGTCTCGTCAGTAACAGTGTGACATCTATGTCTACTTTTGATATTACTAGATGACATGTAATAGATATATGACAATACTCTGGCATGTATTTGACTTAAGAGTTGTATTATTTACTAAGTTCGAACTTTAAGGTTATTTTACATATTAATAGTTAATGAATATTTTTTTATTATTATATTAAAATATTTTATATAAAGAAATAAAATTGTATTGGTTTTCAAGTACGAAAATATTTTAAAAGTCTTGCGACATTTGTGACTCGTGTACGGGGACGTATACTGGAAATGGTGTTACAGTTCATTTTTGTTGAAATTCAATGTCTTTTAAGTGTCATGCTTTTAAAGTCAAAATTTTTGTTTGGAATGCATTTATTGAGGGGGATCTTTGATTTTTTAAATGATTTTAATGTTAAAATTACTACTTACTCTCCAATGTTGTTTTGTACCTTAAAAGTTTGAATTATTTTTGATATAACAAAAAGAGGAAGAAGTATAATTTTGAAAAATTCAATTTCTCAATGGAAAAGGGGGAGCTTTAATATTTTCCAAAAATATGTCTCTTTTTCATTAAATGTTTTATTAAGGGGGAGTTTTGCCAAAATAAATTTTCAAATGTTTTGTTTTATCAAAAAAGGGGAGATTATTGAACCATGTTTTATAATGTTTTGATACAACAAATTAGGGCAAAATGTTTTTGGAATTGATTGAATTTATTTAAAGTTTTAAAAAATAATTCGATGTCCATTAAACTAGAATTTGAGCACAAAACAGTTTTATGGGTAAGTAGTATCGATATTGTTCTTATAGTATCGATACTACATGAACAATATTGATATTGTTCATGTGGTACCGATACCAAAGGTAAGAGAAGTATCAATACTCTCTAGGTAGTACCGATAATACCAGTTGGTTTATAAACGGCTCAAATTCCAAAATGCAAAATAGGTACGGATACCCAAAGAGGTACCAATACTACTTTACAAAGTGATATCTATACCATGAAGCATAGTATCGATACTGGTCAAGCCCAATAGTCTTTAACAACTAGTTTATTTAAATTTTATAAAGGAAGTACCGATACTCATTAAAGAAGTAGTTATACTCCAAGTCATGGGCAATTTTATTTTGCAAAAAATTAATCCCACCGTCTTTGTAAAGGTTATCTCTTTGTCTTGGAAAAAGAAAGAACAAATTAGTGAATTTGTTAGAAAATCCTAAGCGATGAGCTTAGGTAGTGGATGTAGACTTGGTTGAGAATTCGAACCACTATAAATCCTTTTGCATCAATTTTCTCATTCTTAAATCTCCTTAATCCCTAATTTTTTTTCTCAAATCCACTTTACCCCTATTGGCAAATTATTTCATTATTCAATTGAGCTTCATCATAAAATCCCAACAATATTTATGGCTTACAACCAAAGTAGCATTTCTTTTTAAAATTACATTGAACAAGAAAAATCATTTCTCAAACTCTGGCTAACAAATTTTACATAGTGGTCCACTCAAATGGTCAAGTTATCCAAACTGATGATGGTGTTCTGTTTATGTTACGGAAACCCATAAACATGATGTTCCTTTTAGATGTATCGCATCACAAAATAAAGCAGAAAATTGAAAGAAAACTTGGATCCCGTGTTTCATGTTTGAGTTATCGACACATAATTTCAGAGACTCTGCTAAAATATGGAGCAATCTATATTGATGACGACAACGATGCAGCTGTTATGATTGCTCTACATCAATCTTCAAATAATCAATTGATTGAGATATACATTGAAACTGCAGATATTCCTTCTTCCTTAACCACTGTACACGTGACCAAAGAAGCACGACCATCAGAAGATTAAGATATTCATGTTGTGCAATTCGGTGAATGCCTCGCTGATATAAGTGAGAATGGTGAAACTTTTGTTCCATTACTACTAGACGATGACACACAAATAGTTGATGATTATGATATCGCCAAGGCTGCTTCAGAGGGACAAGGTATTGATATAGAGGTTGATGATTAGAAGGTAGTGGTTTCACGTAGGCATGCGCTGTAGAATGCTCCGTGAGGTTGGGCACATTCACCAACCCTCAATCACCCTAAATATCACAACACCAAATGCCTCACTATCATCATCCAGTTGCAACACATGACATAAACTATCATCATCATCCTGATATGTTGGAGATATGCGTAGTCCATTGGGTTCCTCGAACCACATATCAACAGAGTTGGCAGTTGAGTATTACTTTGAAATTAAGAAGGATGCCTAACTAGCAGTGAAAGAGTTTTGTATCAAAGCTCATAAAGAATTCAATGTGGTAGAGTCTGATCAGAAGATATATTTTATTAAGTTTATAAACAATAATGTGGGCTGTACGTGAATGATACTTGTCACATACCTATAACGAAAGATATTGTGGCCAGTGACAAGGTTCTACTCCTAGCATAGTTGTACATTGAGCTCCTTGACACAAGACCACAAACACTTAAATTATGATGTCATATATGCATATGTCAAGCTTTTGGTGGAGAAAAATCCAAGGTTCCCAGTTTCAATGATAGTGGCATCAATCCGAAACACGTTTGGTTATATGCCGTCTTACTACAAGTCGTGGATGGATAAAAGGAAAGCTATGACACTATTGTACGATGATTGAGATCAGTCATACAATGAGCTCCCACATCTGTTACATGCAATAGAATTTTTCATCCTAGGAACCATTGTTCGCTCTTATACTTATGTTGCGACCACGTTTGATGTACATGTTATCCCAGGAAAGAGAGTTTTCGGAGGCTTGTTCTGGGCTTTCAAGTCATCCATTGAAGGTTTTCGCTACTGTAAAAAAATAGTTCAAGTGATTGACACTTATCTCTATGTCGTATACAAACACATCCTGATGATAGTTGTTGCACAAGATGGTGACATAAACATTTTCCCTATTACCTTTTCCATTGTTAAAAATGAGCCCGAGGAAACGTGTAATTTTTTTCCTATCAAACTTCTATTCCCATGTTGTTATATAAGATAGGGTTTATATAATCTCAAATCGTTCACCTGGGTTGTTGGCCACGATTGATAGATCAGGAAGTATGTGGTCACCTCCCCATGCATTTTCGACGTATTACATATGTCATATTGCATCCAATGCTATAACGAGGTTTAAGAATAAGAAGATCAAGAAAGATATTATCAACATGGGTAACTTATTCTTTTATTTTCTTTTATTTATGTTCTTCATTTATTATTGTACTTAAATCAAGCTTTTTTTTAGGATATGCTTTGCTACAACCGAATTTCCGTGTAAGGCTAGAAAATCTGAGGAAATATAGAGAAGAGGTTTATAAGTTTATAGTTGAAATACCTCAAGAAAGATGGCTACATGCATATGACGATCAGGGTCAGCGTTACAGTCATGTGACAACCAATCTTGTCGAGTATAGCAATTCAGTTCTTAAAGGAACTAGACATCTTTCGGTAGCAAGTATTGTTCGAGAGACTTACTTTAGATCTCATAAAGTATGGGGAAACAAAGGTGCCCAAGTAGAGGTAATGATCAAAGAAGGTAAAACTTAGGCTCTAGATCAGGAGAAAACAATGAAAAAAATTACACATGCAAAATCAATGTATGTTCATAATTTCACCAAACTCGATTCTGATTACGTTGTCCAAGAAATTGTTCGACCACATGAGGGTGAGAATTCTGTCACCTACACTGGTAATCTCAATAGAAGATGGTGTGATTGTGGTCGATTTCAAGCCTTTAGATACCTATGCGCTAACGCGATTGCTGCATGTACGCATGTGAATGTAAACCCATACTTATATGTTGATGATTGTTATAGCCTGCATACTATGCACAACATATACAGTTGTGACTTTAAGTATCACCCAAATGATGTATTTTTACCACGAGCTGCCCAATCCACAATTACGAAGAAAGTTGAGTGTCGTCCTGAATTTAGTCGAATTCATATTGATATGGATGATCCTCAACGATAGAAAGGTCTGCTAAAGCTTTGTGGTCATTGCAGAGGTGAAGGTCACAACAGGAAGCATTGTCCACACCTTTTGAAATATTGACTAGGCAAATAAAACCTTCGTAATTGTATTCGCATGTTGTCTGTTTATGTGTTTTGGATAATTTATCAATATAAATAATCATCTTTATTTTTTACTTTTCATATATAATTGCAAAATATTCATAAATAATGTTTAACTAAACTAAAATTTAAACATATATATAAAACATTTTTTCAACAAAATAAACAATTTTTCCTCTCAATTTTTACATTATTTTTTTTCATTCATCTCGATAAGTCGTTTGTTGCGTCGATTTGGTAAGTCTTCATTCTTCTTATTTTTATGTTGATCAAGAATCGACTTTATTGACTATTTTACCCATTCCTCATATGAAGATAAGCTTGAATCTGAATAATCAATGTCAGAGTAATCAGACCCAAAATGATATTTCAGAAAATTTCTGAAATATTCTTCCTACAAATGCATGATTTGGTTATCATATAACACTATCAACTCACCCAACTCCTATTTATAGTGATTTTTTTAAAAACGATCGTTAGAACTCGCCACACCAACATGACGAATTTCAACTGCTACAAACATATTTTTTCAATTATTTCTAAACGACTATATATTTAAACCTAGAAAAACTCATCACCTCGAGATGATGAGTTTTATAAATTTTTTTATTTTTTTACTTAAAGTAAATAACTTTAAAAAATATTATTATATTAAAAGAACTCGTCATCGAGGTGATAAGTTACTTAGAAATTAATTAAATAATAATGACAAAATATTAAAACAATATAAAGAATATGGTGCGTACTACGCACAGGGAGCATGCTAAACACTGAATCAAGCCAACGTTTGTTTTTTATATTCGTTTTTCCCCCGCAGGGAGGAGAGGGTTTCCGTAGCTTAGAATTTTTTCTGCACCTACCCCAAAGGTATTCTCATTTTCCTTTCCGTCAACGCACAGTCTTATTCCATTTGATGCGGATGGTATTTATAAATGCATTTTATGGCCGACCATGAAATTTTTCTTGATCTGTAAATCTAGGGCTTTGGGTTTAGTTGATTCCAATTTTTTCCCCTCTTTTATTTTGTTCTGAATCAGAAATTTCATCTCTTTTCTTTTTCAATTTTACTATTTCTTTAATCTGTTTACGGTTCGGCAAATTTACTGACTTCCAGCTTCATATTGTTGTTTCTGTAATTTATTTGTTAGGTAACCTCCAAAGCACGCTCTGTTAAGTTATTCATTTCATTTGCTATGTAAGTTTCTTTTTTTCTTCTTTCCCCTCCTGTATTTTACTTGTTAATATATATGTTTGCATCTGCTTGGTCATATGCTGCAAGTGGAGTGAGTTTGATGAAAGATTTTGTTTTGGATTTGTTTTGTTTATCGTTCTATCTATTGGTTTCTTGATCTTTGCATGAAGCTAAGTTTTTGATTAAAGTATGGTGTCGGGTATTGGGGGTTGTTTGTATGGAGCAAAATCGGACACTGCAATTGAGCAATCTTAATGTTCGTAGATTTTCTGACATGATTTCGAATGGTTTCAAATTGAAATTAACTTAAGCAATTTTTTTCGTATCTGATCTAACCAACTGGATAAGTGTGGGAGGGCATAGGATAAAGAGTTCTCCGGGAAAGAACGGGAAAAGAAATAACTTAGTGTTCAAACATCAAAAAGGTTCTTTTTATAATCTAATAGCAGTAGACAGTACACCAACATCAATTATCTGGAAATTGCAGTTATATTCTGAAAATAGTAGTTTCTTATAATTCTTTGAGTGTTTCTCCCCTTGTTTGTAGTCCATAATTGCTTTCTGATTTCATCAATTTTGAATCCTTAAAATATTATGTTATTTTCATCAAATTTGTGACTTCTTTCAATGCATGCCCATATCTAATCTATCATTTGAAAACATTTTAGGGCGGATGAGGAACCTGTTGATCAGAAGCAGTATCTTGAAGAGGGTTGCAAGCCTAAATGTGTGAAACAGCTTCGTTCTTACGAGGTTTGTTTTCTTGATATAAGTTGTTTTGCAAACTGAGAAAGCTTTATCGAATCTTTTTCACCAGTTTTTAGTTATGAGTTAGATAATTGCTGTTGCAAGTATTTATTAATGTGTGTTGTTTTATACTTTTCCTCCAGTTCTATCTCGTTGGCTACATTCACCTTGAATTAGTTTTCAGGATATATATATATATAGTCTTTGCCTATTTGGAAAATGCAAGTTGTTTTCTTCTATTGAGCCAGATCCAACTTGATATTTTACAGAAAAACCATGTTAGGAAAAATAGAAAACATGCATAACTTAATGAAAATAATAGGTCTAACTAACACAAACTTAGTAATGGTTTGCAAATGCTCAAATTTATTATTGGGCATAGTGTCCTCCTATGAACATTCTGTTTTCTTTCCCTCAAATTTATTATTGGGCACAGTGTCCTCCTACTTCGTGCTGGGTGAATCCTCCTGAGGGTTTCGTTAAAATTAATGTTGATGGGGCGATGGTGAGGGGCTGGGGTAAAGGAGGTATAGGAGGGCTGATTAGGGACAGCAGAGGTATGTTGATAAAATCATTTTCAGAAAAGGTTGGGGGAGGTCCACCTATAATGGCAGAACTATTGGCGATTAAGAGAGGTCTCATTCTAATTGAAGAATTAGGATCTGCCCTAACTCAGAGGGTTATTTTAGAATCGGATTCGACTACAGCACTGAAGTGTATTAAAAATCCGGACTTAAGCACACCTATGTTTCAGTCATTGGTGAAGGACATAGCTACTCGTATGGAAGGACAAGATATCATTTCAAGGCATGTTCTGAGAGCTGCTAATTGGGAAGCAGATAAGTTAGCTAAAGAGGGTATAGGCTGATTTGTAGGTTATTTTTTTGGGTATGTTAACATGTACGGAAATGTTTGTTTTCCTTAGGGGGTTTGTTTTCAGTCTTATGTATCAGTGTTATGTTGTATGAGTAGGTTATGATTTTGGCTGTGTATTATTGTTCTGATTAATAAAGTTCAAGGGCACTCTTTTCCTCCTTCCTATGTCCTTCATGTTACTGTTGCAACATGGAGGGTATGAAGGGGTTCTTAATGAGGCCTAATCTTCTTTAAAAAAAACAATCTTCTGCTACTGTTGGAAATGGAATCATGCAGAAACTTATTTGAGTTACTGGCTTCCTGCAGGCATGTGTTAAGAGGATTGAAGGTGATGAAAGTGGTCACAAGCATTGCACTGGCCAATATTTTGACTACTGGGCTTGTATCGATAAATGTGTTAGTACTTTACTGTACCTTCATTCATCGTTTTGTTTATATTTGTACTTTCTCCTGATATCAGGTTTGTGGAATGCAGGTTGCACTAACTCTATTCTCGAAACTGAAATAAATGGGGATCAATGCTGTGTAACATTAGCATCATGTCCTGCTTTTTTGAGTTCAAAAGCCAGTTGATTGTTTCATAAACTATATATATCCTTCTATCTTAAACTTGAGATAATGCCTGCTGCGATGCTTACGGCTTATTTGAGAACTGGTAACATTTTTTGTTGTGTTTTACTGTGGAAACAATTTATCATTTATAATAAATTTGGTTCCTGTTAAACATGCCTATGCCTATTGGCGATAGGGCTGGAACTTGGAAATGCAATAACCGAACGGCATTTATCAGTCATATTAGCCAAGATGGTATGCCATCCAGTGCTTAATGCAAGCCTGTATGTTAGTTCTAAAGTTCGCCTTTTTTTGGGACAAGAAGTTGCTCTCATAGTTTACCTACCTGACAACTTCCATTTGCAACCCTGTCTTCTGCAATGCTCCAAGATAGAAACAATCTTGCCCACTCGACACCCTACCATTCATTTGGAAAAATACATGAAGTGATTCTATGCATATCTTTTTTTAAATGGTCGAGTGATTAGAATAGAATGTAATATTCGTTTAAAATCTTTCTTAGTCATTGATAACACACACTCCTTGATACTTATTTGTGAAACATATAATTTCCATGCATATTTGAACATCGGCTGAACATATAAAACCCTGCAAAAAGATTAGTGCTAAATATTCCTTTGAATGCACAAGCTTTGTAACTACCATTTAATCCTTAATGGATTGCATTGCATGGAAAAGAGAAGTTCAATGAAACAATTTTTACACCAAAATGCCAAGATATGATGAAATATTTTCTAATGTCTTCAAAATCCTGTGAATACGCATTCTTCTTATTGCAGAGTCTATTATTCATGTATCTCTATGGACTGATTAGATTACATATTTTGTTACACTAACATGTGGAAACGAATATAATGTTCCTAAAGAAAACTGCTACATTCAACTTAGAAAATCCAAAATACTAACCTCCCCAGGTTTGACAAGGGAACTGATCCTGGTTTCATACTTGGGCACTGCCTTCCTAGATTTGTATCAGAAGCTTGTTCAAAGGGACGTCTTGATTGTTTTTGATTTGGGATGATATTGTGTACGTCTATGCATTCCTCAAGGTTAGTATCACTTGTCAAAAGAACCCACTCGTCTTTATGTCCCTAGTACTTGTGATCAATTCTGCTTACATCTTCAATACCGAAACGACTAGCAATTTCTTCTTGCAAGCTGAAACGTATCTTAACTTCCCTAAACATAGCTTTTGCCGTTTCCAACCGAGGAACCATTGTTTTCCATTTTGACGGTTCTTTTCTGGTCGGAGCTTTTCAAGTAACTCCTATATGGGATGCAAATGAAGAAACATTGTTGGAACGCCATCTCCTGGGAGGTATTTAGGGATTGGGTCTTTTTAAAGGAGTTAAATGGCTGGTCAAACATGATCGAATGATGTCAGGTCAGCTGGTTTAACACTTCATATCAGCATTCCGTTAGGTCAGCTGGTTTAACACTTAATATCAGCATTCCGTTACCCCAATAATGATCATTAACGGCAAGTAATTTATTTGTTATAAAACGACAATGTAAGTGACCAAATCATTATTTTTGAAACACCATGGCGAAAGGAGAAATTTACTTGAACAATAATGGCAATGTATGTAACTTATCCTTAATTACTTGCTTTGGACGTGTTGATGGTGATGAAACGCTATTATCCGATAAAGGGTTTTAGTAGGGGTTGCTTTTGGAGTTGTTAAGGATGACAATATTATCAGAATCAATGCTTTCAGAGGCAAAATAGAGATTGTTGGATTGATTCATGGGGTGCGGTGATTACTTAAGCCTTTTCCATTAGCGCCGGTTACGCTTCAGTGCATTTACCAAGCAGTGAATCTAACGTACAATGCAACTACCAATACAACAGAAAAATAAAAATTCCGTAAGCATCCTCTTCACTTGTAAAATTTAAAAGCATCAAGTCATACGAAATTACCGCCTGGAATTTCCCAGTCGTCGATCAACCGCGGCATGGACATTAAAATATGAAGTTAGCAGTGACTCAAAAGTGTGGCAAATATATTGAAAGCAAGTCTTCATATAGATGTGAAAAGATAAAAGAATGCTAACCATCAGGTTGGTTGGGAACATTGAGGCTACCCAAACATATTCATCAACAAATCCAGACCAGCTGTAGGGCTGTAGGGGCTGCAATTAAACAAAATGAAGTACAATACATAAAGATAGATGAAAGAAGAGCTTGGTAAAGGGAGGTGGGCAAAGCAAACTAGAGGGTTTAATGTTAGAGAGAGCCCTTCAATTACTTTTCATGCCATTTGTAGAGAAAATTCATAACTAAGCTTTGGTTTTTATTTTGTACCTGCAGTAGCACCCGTCGATGCAGAATCCCTGCAAGAAAGCCAATTATGGTTAAAAGGAAAGAAGAAAAGCGATGATATAATCCTCGACGCATGAGAAATAAAGGCACGTTTAATATCCATGAAGATAAAATATACCAAATGGCCAACTAAAAAACATCGAGGATTTGATTATATTTTTTGGATCCCTAAAATGTCCAATCTAGCTAGAAAAATCATCTGTCATGTATACGATACAAAAATATATTTGTTTGATCAATAAACCGGACATTAATTGACTTGATTAAAAAATCCTGATATTTGTAACAGCAGCCTGTACACTTACGACAAGCTTAAAAGCAGGAAATAGAAAGGTTTTCACCAGTGGAATAACCGAAGGTACTATCACTTACTGGGTTGATTGCGGTCGGTTGAGCTGAGACAGAAGAGACTGCTTTAATGCTAGCATTTGCTGCAACAAAAATAAGAAAACAAGGGAGAGCAGAACATAGATGACTTTTGTCAAAATATTACTTGAAAAATATTAAATAACCTGATATTAACAATATCAGCTAGGGTGGCCCCTTATAAAAGATGAAAAATAATCAAAACCATAATTTGATGTAAGCATTTTGAGAGAATTAAGAGATGTACATGTTAGAATCAAAACATAATAAATATGAAATCAAACTAAAATCTAATCATGTCAAATCATCAAGAATAAAATACTAGATTATCTATTTCTTGGGGATCAGAACGCTCTCTATAGCTAATTTAAGAATCAATTATTGTATGTACTCATAACTCTATCCCTCATCAATTATAAATACAACTTTAATAGTATCTACACTTTTATTTCTATGACACTTCTAATACTTTATGACTTTATAACATAATTGATCACTTATTTTATGTCATATTTTATGATAACAATATACATTATAAATATGTGTCCATAGTTATGGATTTTAATCCAACAATCTCCACTTGGGCACCATAATGTTTTCTGATAAATGTATAACCTTATAAGCTCAAAACTTGTTATGATGCAATATATATTCTATAACAATCTCATCCATCAACTATATTTATATAGGATCAAAGCAGCCTTTGCCATATCAATCATGACAAGACCCATTAATGGTCACATATACAAACACAATCAAATGGCATAGATCTATCATGGAGCTTAGCATGAAAATTACACGCAATTCGAACCACACGTCTATTTCCAACTAGTCCTCTTTAAACATTAGTGAGATCAAATTTTACCAAAATAAGAGTGTGGATAAACCAAAACAAACTTTATTTATGCAACTTTATTTATGCAGAAAATAACTTTAAAATAAATATCCTTAAACTGAAGTAACCAAAATTGTGTTTATAATAAACGAGCATTAAAATTACAAACTCTCACTAAAATCGAATATCATTAAATGATATTACACCCACGTGAGTAGTGTGCTCGTGAAAGACCTTGGGTGACTGTTCCTTAGTAAGTGCGTAATTATGAGTTTGTACTAATATGCTCTATAAACACATAACCACTCTGAATTTTATTTAACAACCCGAAACTTAATGTCTATGTGCTATACTTAAGGTGTTTTTGTTGTATATATAGAACAAAGGACTATAACTTAATTATCACAAAATAACTAAAGTGGTATTTCTTATCAATTCATAGTTAACATTTCATGTGACAAAATTTTGCATCTACATTCCAATAAGTCGGAGTCCATAAACCTGACGATCTCTTACTTACTAGACCTCCGATATGTGATCATGTAAAATTTTTGTTCTTAAAAGTATCGTATGTATCTATTTGGCTGTTATCCAACGTTCCATACCCAAATTGCTTAAATATTTTCTTAAGATCCTAAAATCATATGCTATATCCGAATGCGTATAAACCTGAGTATACATTAAATTCTTTATTTATTTTGAAACATAAGTAACCTTTTTTGCATTTTCTTAGTTTCAAAATCATCCTTATGGCACCAATCAAGACTAAACTTGTTTCCTTTAGCAATAAGGGGTATTATTTGGTTTACTCCCACTAGACTTCTACTATATACAATTATCAACAAAGTTCATCTCAAAACCAAACGAGATAACCACTTGATGAAATTTATTATACAATTAACAGGAATCATACTTAAACTTTTAAATGGATTTCCTTAATTTGCATATAATTAGTTTTGTATCATTAGACATAATTTTCTAATTGCACTCATATAAAATATTTAATCAATGTAACCATTGAGAAACACAATTTTGAAATCGAACTTATGTAATTTAAAATCAAATATGAGCAACGAGTATCATGATTATCCTAAAAGAGTCTTTTAATGAAACCAAAGAGAAAGCATCTACAAGATTAACGTCTCATTTCTGAGTATATCTTTTATAAACAAGACATGTCTTATACTTATCAACATCACCATTTGCATTCATCTTGATTATAAATATCCATTTATAACCGATCAACTTTGCACCTTCAGGTAATGGAATAAGTCCTCAAACTTTATTATCATATAAAACTTATACTCTTCTTACATGACATCAATCCACTTTTTAGAGTCATAACTTTATGACATGACGAAAATTGATTAGATAACCTTTCATCATTCTACTGTTATCTTTATTTCTTTTAGAAACAAAACAATCTAAAATAATATTGTAACACCCCAAAATTTCATTAGGGACTAAATTGATAAATAAAATTATTTCAAAGACTAGTTAGACAATTTTCATGTGTTGTGGGATTGAATTTGAAGTCTGAGATAAAGAATTAAATCCTAGAATTTATTTTGTGGGAGATT